TGTTATGGTGCAGTGTGCGTGTGTCATGACCCGGGATGTCGTTGAAATCCCGTGGTTTGCTGGTGTGCTCCACACGGCCGAAGGCGAACGGCGGAAGTCTGGAGCCGGACCGATCGTAAACAATTAGAGTGGCTGTCCGCATGGTCAGCGCAATCCTCTCTTTCACTTTCACCAGTTCCCCGGTTCGGACCGAGGTCAACATTCGCGACCCATCTGGAAGCCATTCTCCTGGCCATTGTGTTAATTACGTATCGGTTCTTCCCGGAATGGTCCGGGTCTCATGTGAGGCGGCCTTGCTTTAGTCCCGGGTCCAGACTGGAAGCCAATTGAAGCCAGATCCTCCCGGCTTGCGCCGGACCTCCTCCCGGGCCAAGCCCGCCCAGATCCCGAACGGAAACGTCGAAGCGAATCGAAGTCACCAGATCAGAAATGTGCCGATTGGCCCGTTCTCACAAGAACAACCTCAGTCCCTCCTGAGTCGTGATTTGGAGATCCCCAAAGCAGGCGTGTCTGGACAGGTGCTCTGGACAGACCAGGGTGCGATTTTGAGATGCGAGAGCCGCGACAGGGTCACAAGGGAGAGAAAGACGCCCAGCACCGCGAAACAGTGGCCCGCCGTGACGTAAATTCCAGCACGCTTGCGGTGCCCGAAACGGCAGTTTGACCCCACCTTGCCCACTTCTCGTTTGTGCCCCGCCAGACACTGGCCCCACCAGAGAGAAGCAGCAACAGCAACTGCAGCATGGAGCTTTTCGTTCTGTTGAGCTTCAGGGACATCCGACCCCGCACCTGCTCATCCCGCACATCCCACCATCCCACTTCTCAGCCCAGGTGCCTGTCCCTCCACGCGCCCAAGTGGTTATCAGAGCTGCGTCATACAAATCCCTCACCGGCGGCGGCAGATAGTTTGTGCGAGACTGAGCATTGTTTTTCCTTTCTCTTCCAAACAGACCCGACCTTGCGTGTTTTGGGCACCTCTAGCTTTGTGAGCATTTCCTACGCTTGAACCACGGCCACTTTCTTCCCCCCTCACCTAAATTTACCCCGCCATCGCAACTCGACTCGACTTTTTGTTCGCCAACAACCATCACAACCACCACCACAATGGGTCTTCTCGAGGTGCGTGCCGCGTCAATGCCTCGGCCCGGGCCGCCGTCCCTTATGCACGCTTTGATAAACAATGTTCTCTGACCGTGACCCTGCATCCAGGAACTCAACCTGCCCGTCGGCGTCATCTACGGTACGGACCCCTCTCGCCGAGATCGGAGAAATTGAAATTGACCATGGAACAGGCGACGATGTGCTGAAGCTCTTCACCTACGCCCGCGAGAAGGGTTTCGCCATCCCCGCCGTCAACGTCACCTCCAGCAGCACTGTTGTCGCTGCTCTCGAGGCTGCCCGCGACGCCAAGGCTCCCATCATGTACGACGCCTGCTGCCTCCCTGCGCGGTTGACTTTCGGGGCAACATGTTGACAAGCTGTGGTCTAGCCTGCAAACGAGCCAGGGTGGTGCGGCCTACTTTGCCGGCAAGGGCATCAAGAACAGCGCTGAGAAGCAGGAGGCGTCTGTCGGTGGTGCCATCGCTGCCGCCCACTACATCCGCTCCGTCGCTCCCCTGTACGGCATCCCCGTCGTCCGTAAGTTTTCTTCCGTCCCTCGTCGCTCGCTCCCGTGCTGAGACTCTGCGGCAGTTCACACCGACCACTGCGCCAAGAAGCTCCTCCCCTGGCTCGATGGCATGATCGAGGAGGACGAGAAGTTCTTCAAGCAGAACGGCATCCCCCTCTTCTCCTCGCACATGATTGATCTGGTATGGCTTTTCTCCATTCCTTCAGTGCTACTTCTCATGCTAACGTCACCAGTCTGGTATGCTCCCTAACCCGCTTGGTTGCGCTTATGCACCACCCACGTGGCTTCCGTGGCCTCCGCCACACAGCCCTCTGTCTGGACAACGCTCACATAATGGCATATAGAGGAGGCCGTCGACGAGAACATCGAGACATGCGTCTCCTACCTCAAGAGGATGGCGCCCATGAAGCAGTGGCTCGAGATGGAGATTGGCATCACCGTACGGCAGATCCTTGTGCAAACGAGCCTTTTTAGAGCGGATATGAATGCTAACAGGTACTACAGGGTGGTGAGGAGGACGGTGTCGACAACACTGGCGTAAGCTCTGATCAACTGACTTTGCCCATCTGTCGTCTTCCTTTCTAACAAACCGCCCCAGGTCGACAATGCCTCTCTTTATACCCAGTAAGTTTTCGGTTTTGTATGCATCAGCAGACGCGCAACAAGTACTGACATGTGGATAGGCCCGAGGACATCTGGCAGATGTGGGTTCTCTGTTCCCCGGGCGCCTGACAACATACTAATCCCCCCTCGCAGCGAGCAAGCTTTCCGCCCGATTTCCAAGTACTTCTCGATCGCTGCCGGTTTCGGGTATTAAACTCCGCTCCCCATCTCGATTACACACGTGCTGACGACTTGGTAGTAACGTCCACGGCGTCTACGCCCCCGGCAACGTCCGCCTCCACCCCGAGCTGCTTGGCAAGCACCAGGCCTTCGTCTCGGAGAAGCTCGGTGGCCAGGACAAGAAGCCTGGTAAGTTGATTTGTCTGTCCGAGAGACCCAAGAGTGCGCGCTGACGGTGCCAAGTCTTCTTCGTCTTCCACGGTGGTTCCGGCTCGAGCAAGCAGGAGTACCTCGACGCCATCAGCGTGGGAACCCCTTAGCCCTGTTCGCCTGGCTCGCAAGACTGACATTTCATAGCACGGTGTGGTCAAGGTCAACGTCGACACCGACCTGCAGTGGGCGTACTTGACCGGTATCCGGTAAGCTATCTCGTAGGGCGGACGGTGAGGCTGCTTCCGCTGACATGAAATCCAGTGACTACGTCACCAAGAACATCGACTACCTCAAGACCCAGGTCGGCAACCCCGAGGGTCCCAACAAGCCCAACAAGAAGAAGTACGACCCCAGAGTCTGGGTTCGTGAGGGTGAGAAGACCATGTCGACCCGCGTGACGGAGTGCCTCAATGACTTCAAGACTGCTGGAACCTTGTAAACGGGTTAACGGATGAATGATGATATGGGCCGCGGCACATGGTCGACGGTACTGGCCGAACTGGGGCTTCCAGGCCCAGCATGTGAGCTTTCTAATGATAAACATGACGCTCATAAATCTGGCGACGAAGGGCCTCTCAGGCTCCTTCGTCTTAAGAAGATAGTTAGGGGCAAACCAAAATGTGAAACTTGACCCCCTCAATACTGGTCTTTGGATGTCCTGATTGTGAAGCAGAGCCCAGATAACACTCGATTGTACTGATACCATGTTAGATGCACGCTCGGTACAAAAGAGGGTTTGGAAGAAGATGTCCCCCCCCACCACCCTAGCTGGGTGAGTGGTCGCCGTCTATCATAAGCTGAAACTAATTATTTTGTCAAATGATAAAGTCCAATTGATGTGTACCTGATCCTTGATCCGCTCTATGACCCCTTGAACCCCAGACGCCGCCGAACACTCTCGCTTGCTGACTCCGCATCTCTTTTTGCTCATTGCTTTGCCCTGTTAGAAGCGGCCTCCTTCCATGCGGCAGCGATAGCACCCCAGTACTGCTCAGGGTGCGCCCGCATGTGGCCAACATGCGGCGTGCCCTCGAAAAGCTCGGCCGACACGCTCCATCCCTTCTGGCGGGCATCGGCCGCATGCTTCTCAATGTCCTCCCAGAGGATGATATCGTCCTCCTTGGAGTAGAGGTACAGCCGCTTCGCGCTCGTCTCGGAGAGCCGGGGGTCGTTGACGGCGCCCGTGCTGAACTCGGCCGCGCTCGTCGCCCCGATCAGCCAGCCGAAGCCGTGCAGGCAGCCAAGGAACATGGCCGCCAGCGCCTGCGTCACGACGAACGGCCAGGGGAACCACCGGGCCGCGCCGAGCGCCATGGCGCGCGACCAGGGGCCGACGTTGGGCAGGAAGTGGGTGCTTCCCGGGGTCGAGTCGCAAACGAGCATGTCGTGGTGGAAGCGTTGGCCGCCCGTGTGCTTGCTGTAGGCGTTCATGGTGGCGGCGCAGTTCATGCCGCCCGTGTTGGACATGACGTGCAGCAGGACCCTCTCGTCGCTCTTCTTCTCGGCCGAGTCTGGGTTCCTGAGCACCTCCGGGTAGACGGCCTCGAGGACGGGAACCATGGTCCGCGAGCGGGCCTCCAGGGTCTGGTAGAGCGCCTTGAGGATGGGCGAGAAGATGAGCACGATCCGCGCGTGGGGGAACAGCTGCCGATAGCCCTCGACGTACTTGGCCACGTGCCGCGGGCGGGCATCGCCCCAGCCGTAGATGATGACGGTGGTGGGATGGCTGGGGTCCTGACAGCTCGGCTCGCCTTCTTGTACGTAGACCTGGTTGCTGACTTTCTTGAACCCGAGCATGGAGGACTCGGCCTCGATCACCGCCTTGGACATGGTGTGTGTGCGTGTGTGTGTTGGAAAGGGAGGTTGGGGATGGGTTCTGTTACTGTTGGCCGAAGTCAGGTATTTCAAAGGGACCTCCTTGGCCAAGTACCGGTTTCTTGTCCGCTGGTAGAAGACGTTTCGGCGATATATAGACCAGAATTTTGAAATAAGAAATCTGCACCTGTTTGAGGAAGGATTTTGTTGACAAGCTTTTACCCCTGACCCCTGACGACCCCGTACCCATGAAAAGATTCGAACCCCCACCAGCCTTGTGGGGGTAAGATTGAGGCTCCGCGGCATGTCAAAAGAAGCATGTGCTTGTGTTTTCCTGATCAGTAATGCCCTCGCCGATGGTAGGAGGTAGCCACTTCTCTGGTTGCTCTTACAACCCTCGCCGAGCGGCAAACTCAGATAGCCCCTTTTCAAGGTACAATCCTCGGTCCTTCCTAGTTTTCCAGGCACCTGCGGAATGTTAGGTGCTGTCCCAAGTCAACTACTTCCTGGAATCCACGCATGTGAGGCTGTCTGTCGGACTGTCTTCCACAAGTCAACTGGGCAATTGGTCTAGGGGTATGATTTTCGCTTCGCATCCTACAAGCTGCGCACTGTGAAAGGCCACCGGTTCGAATCCGGTATTGTCCATTCGTTTTGCCGATTATTTTTGGGCAAATCCACCATTTTATCGTGGGAAACAGTGCGAGCTCCAGTTGGGGGGATCCCCAGTCGCTCTGCCTCTCCTGTGCTCAACAGCCGAGGTTCATGCTCAAGTGGGCCAACCTTGTCTCGGAACCTGATTACTCAACCGCCAAGCCAAACCGAGTTACCGACCAAGACGCATTAACAGCCAGGACTCAGGAGTCTTGATGGTAGCAGCCAGCAATCGAAACTCATAGCACTATACTGGTACCTACCCAACTCTGGTGTCCCGGCAGTCCGCGTTTGCTCCCTTTGATCAGCTCTGGTCAATATGGGTGGTCAAGGCACAAGCAATCCCATCTCCTTTTCAGAGGCGACCAAAGTCGAGCGTCTCGACTCGCACACCTACAGGGCGAATCTGGTCGACTCGTTCTGCATAGGAACCGGTAAGCTTACCTTCTGTTTCCTCGCTTAAGTAAGGCAGGCGAGACGCGAGACCTGACTGTTATCAACAGTGCCCAATGGAGGCTACGTCGCATCGTGTATTCTCACGGCAGCTGGCCTCCATCTCGCCCGTGCAGGGCAAAAGGACGTGTTGAACGCCCATTTTCAGTTTCTAAACCGCACCGAGATCGGACCGGCAATCATCGTCATTGAGGACGTCAAGCTCGGCCGACAACTCTCAACCTTACACGCCACACTTTACCAGCACGCGCTCTTGCCCCAGACACCATGGATCACACAGGGGTCGACACGCAAGGAGATTGCCGTGTACTTGACCATGACGGATCTCGGCAGGGAAAACGGAGTCTCTCTGCCGACAGGATTTAGCATGGAGCACCCAGTCGCTGCGCCTCCCAGGCCTGACTTTGCTGCTCTCAAAGAAGACCGCGATGCCCATTGGTCTCGCTTTGACTTTCCGGGGGGCAGTCCTCTGAGTTACGCGCGGTGCCTGCGGAACTGCGTCTACTACGATCCCCGGGCCGGGCAGCCCACCCAGTCGGTCATTGACAAGTGGGTGCGGCTCGCCTCTGGGGAAAACTTCACGGCCGCCTCCTTGGGTTACGTCGCCGACTGCTGGCCATACGTGGTCGAGGCCCAGCGGCCGTCCAAGAAGGAAGCTGAGGAGAAAAGCCGGCGGGGTGAGAGCGTCCCCTTCGCCCCTGGAACCAGGTTCTGGTACCCCACAGTGGTGCTCAACCTCGAGGTGAAAAAGGCGCTGCCGAAGGAGGGCGTGGAGTGGCTTCAGATGCGCGTCATGTCGAAGCAGATTAAGGACGGCAGGTTGGACCTCGAGGTGTTGCTTCTGGACGAGCACGGGGACTTGGTCGCGCTCAGCAACCACGTCAACTTGATCCTCGGAAGCGAAAGGAACACGGCCAAGAGGACAAGGGCGGACGCAGAGGAGAAACCGCAGAGCCACATCTAGGTGTCGCGGATGTTCTCGAGAAACACAAGCATCGGGAAATGGGTGGACAGCGAATAATAGCTTTGAACTTTGGGCCTTTGCTGACATTGGCCTCGGAAGTTGAGGCTCGGGCTTGCTAGACAGTGGGCTCACCACAAGGGCATGAGTCTCTGCGTCTGGACCTGGTGCTCGGGTGTGTTTTCTCAGTCATCGCAACAGGCACTGTTTCAGACGCCCTTCTCTCTGCATCATTCACATTCTCCTGGTTCCTTCCCCCTTCTCCTTCTTCGCGCCGTCAACTGGTGACTGGAACCACGGTCGCAGCGACTCGCACCCGGGGATCCTCGTCACAGCCAACGACACACGCCTTGTGACATTTCCCCTGAGGGGCCCAAACTCCCGGGCGTCCTCAGCTGACCGCCACGACGACCCGAGACCACGGCTGAACCGGAGCGCCCAATTGAGTGCCGCCGCGCGTGTCGCCCTGCGGAAAAGGTGACTCGGGCGTGGTCCGGGTCCACCGTAATGTGAGGCGCCAGTAGAATTGTCGGTGAGGGCCGCCACGTCACCCTGAGGAGAGACGGGCCCCTGCCAAGTGGCCATGGGTCTGGGTGAGGTTGGTCCCGCCTCGGGCAGTGTTGTTGGGCTCCAACTAATCCCCGGGACGTGGCCATGGCTTGATTGGATTTGACACATATTTTGTAGCGCTCGATTGGGTCACCGTTCAGGGGCCAGAAATGCCCTGGCCGTCGCAGTGAGGCGACCTTGGGCATGAACAACTCGCTTCGGCCCGTGACGGATGCATCTTAAATAGAGGGCGCTTTGTCGAGGACAACGAGCTTGACTTTCCTTCTCTCAGTGCACCAAAGCAAACAACCCACGATCCTGTCACCCAAAATTTGACATCTTCCAGCCTCTCACACAAAGGCACCTCTTCTCACAAACAGCAAACATGGACGCTCAGGAGCTTGTAAGTGGCGGCCCATTCCCCGACGATGTGATGCGCGCCGAGCTGACACGTTCGACACCAGAGAAGACGCTGGACCGACAAGACCAACGCCGTCTTCGGGCCCCGCGACCGGTTCGACTACCGCGAGTATGCGGCCGTGAACTACGAGCGCGAGTTCGACTTCAGGGGCTGTCGAAGCATCGTCTTCCTCCACGGCGAGCGGACTGGCCGCGAGGAGGACGTCCTGCTGCTGACCCAGGGCTCCGGCCACATGACGCTGCCCGCCGGCGTCCAGGTCCTGGTGCAGTCGGGCTACGCCCGGTGCGAGCCCGCGGCATCGGCTGGCGGCGGTTCGACCGTCGTCGGAAGGGGTGTGCGCGCCCCGCCCTCGAGCCGTGTTTCGGGCTATGCCCGCTCTTCGGCCGACTCCGGCTATAGCGGATCGGGCCGGAGCTACGCCGACAGCTACCGTCCCAGCCCTCCCCGCGACGCCGCCTCGTTCAACCGCGGCAGTGGCGGCAGCGCCTACATGTCTGCCTGCGACGTCCCCCTGCCGCACAGCACCGTCGGCCGGAGGAGCAGCGCCGACTCGGACGACTGGGAGGTGGTTGACCAGATGCAGATGGGCGACGACGACGGCTGCAGCATCGCTCCCAGCGAGAGCATCAGCTCTGTCGGCAGCCGCCGCGGCGCGAGCCACAGTGGTGCCAGCCACTTTTCCCGCCGCTACACCTAGAACTCTTGGGTTCTGCGTTCCGCGCCGGGATTTGGGGAGACATGGGAACGGCAAGGCCTCTGAAAAAGGGGCTTGTACAGGGTCAGCTCCGCATTACTCGAGTCCGGGGTCCGATGCTCAGGACCGAGCCGTTTAGACTGGGTGGTGCTCGGGCCTGACTAGAACTTGCTGCTGCCCATTCTCCTGTCTCCCACGCGGAACCGAGCATTAGATTGAGTTAGGGGGCATCTGGAGGGATTCGTCTTCGTTTCATTGTATTGGTTGCATCTGAGGAGTTTGGTCAGGGATTGAGCATCGGACGAAGAGGATAGAAGCATGATGGGGTTAACTTTATGTATGGGTTTTGCGTTTTGACATTGAGACTGATAATGTTATCCATCTGGGTCGGACTGTTTGATATTATGGACAGTGAATAACCGTGCTGTTGTCTTAAATGAGGCATCTTGCCGACCAAAAGTGACCAGTGTGGAATTGTGGATTCAACCCAACCCGATGTCGGTTGCCCAGCCGAGTGGAACGGTGTATAAATAGCCGGCACAGCAAGCGTCTAGAAACACCCCATGGATCGCTGTCAGCCCGGTCACAAAAAAAGTATGGCTGCACATAAAGTGTCTGTATGTGCCGGGAACTTTCGTTTGCGTTTTTTGTAGCGGAACCAATCTGACGCAACTCTCGGACCTGGTAAGGAACTTTTGGTTGGGCAGGCCAGGCTCCACTCGGATTTCATTCTTGGGAGATGAGTTATTAGCGCCCAGTCCCGGTTCTGTGTCTAGAGAGGTCGCAGGATTCAACATCCAAGGCCCTTGAATGGTCCTTATTCACGACTGATCAGCGCCAAACCCAACACAGGCAGAAGTCATTGCCATTGCTCCGTCTTCATAAGGTTGATGGGTTTGCCCTAGAGCAGCAAATCTCCGCTACGGCATCAACTTCTTCAACGTCTGAGGCCAGCCGCCAAACACACACAGCAGAATGATTGCGAACCTTGTTATTCTGGCCCTCCCCCTGGTGGCCGCATACTTGTTCACAGCAATATGGCACCGCCGATTCAAACAATTTGCAAATTTCCCCCAGTTCAAGCCCTCCTTCTTCTGGGGCCACTTGCAAACGATCCACGAGTACACCCTCAAAGGCCCCCCCAAAGGCCACCATGGTATGTTCAGTCCCGAAAATGCTCCAGAGCGCGATGGCAACAGGCATTTGACTGCCCCTTACAGACCCGGTTTTTGCGAAGATGGCCAAGGAACTGGGAAACCCCCCGCTCATGTTCTTCGACCTCCGGCCCGTCAGCTATCCAATGGTCGTGGTAAACAGCCACGAGGTCGCTGAGCAGATTTCCCGCGTGTCTCGACAGTACCCCTGGAGCGCCCCGAAGTCTCCCACGCTCGGCGCCTTGGTGCGGCTGACGGGGCCAGAGTCAATCTTGACGAGACAGGTAGGTCTACACTCACCCGCGGCTCAATTGACCTCAGTCCGTGTTAACCAGGACGGACCCTAGGGCGAGGACTGGAAGCAAGTGAGGAAGAGATTCAACCCGGGCTTTGCGCCCCAGCATCTCATGACTCTCCTGCCTTGCATCCTGGACAAGACGGACATCTTCCTGGAGCACCTTGACCGCTACGCCAGCTCAGACAAAGAGTTCCCCCTCAACAAACTGACCATCAACCTGACGTTTGACATTATCGGGGCCATTACCATGAACGTCGACTTTGACGCGCAGCACTCCGAGTCCTCGGCCCAGGGCGAGTTTATCAGGCTTTATGACCAGCTGCTCAAGCTGTACACGGCGGGCGACAGCCGGTTTCCGCGGTGGATGCATCCGCTGGGCGAATGGGGCCGCTACCGGCTCGGCAAGCAGATCGACTGGCACCTCGAGAAGCTGATTCGGGCGAAGCATGCTGAGCAGCAGAGGC